TGAAAGTCAAACTTTGCTGAGAGCTGGCTGTTAGTCAAAATTGGTGGACAGTAATTTACGTCAATGTTTATATCCCCAATATTGGTCGTGAGAAAAATGAGAACAAAGGCTTTGCAAAGGCGGATACAGTGAACATATAGATGATCTGACATTCAAGAAACAGCCACAAAGAGATGCAAGGTTAACTTTCTGTGAAAAACAACCAATCAGAGGACTGTGTTTTTCTGTCTACAATAATCTACAATATGTAAATGAAATCTATAAATATGTGTTGATTTCCTTAATAAATGATCTGTTGCCTGGCCCTTGTCTTCTGGTGTTACAAAAGGAAAACCAAACCGAGAGAGAGCAAAGTGATTTAGTCGGAAAACATAGTCATTAATCAGGTCGTTACTAGGATTATTGAAGTCCAACGATGGATTTCTTCTAAAAATATTGATCTCTTTGTTCCATAAAAACAATCGAATGATCAGTGATAATAAATTTGATGAAAATAAAATGAATATGGATGTTTGAGCTTTCTCATAGGCAGTATAAAGTACAGCCATTAAGTAGATTGATCACACAGTTTATTATATTCCTTCGAACAATTTGTTTAGTTGACAAACTGTCATCAATTAGAGAATCACTAGAAACCAAGGGATACTGGAGAGGTGGTTGGCGCTGGTGAATCAACGGTAGGTGAAATTCACCGGCTGCTGTATTCCTTCACATTGACCAGATCATTACCTTACCTGAATATCCTTGGTTCAATTCTAGATGAGGCTACGGGTGTCTACTACCGAGACGTCCCAATTCAGTATGAAATAGCAAAACCAAGACTTGAAGACTTTTTTGCTTCTGTCAGTGTTGTAGCTATGTCACATGACAAACAAATTGGAAAAAGACTGTTAAAAAATTTATTTATTGATTGGAGGACTCCATCATGAGCTGAGATCAGTTAGAGAACCACTGGAAAACCTACGAGTACTGGGCTGTTGTTCAGTCCTAGTTTGGGACTTTTCATCACCACGCACCTACCACCAGAGTTCGATACCAGGACCTCCTGGTTACAAAGTGACATCGTAGACCATTAACCCATTGTGACCCAATCCAATGGCCCATGAATTCTAACTCTTGCCAATTCATCACATAGCGTGACCACTTCGCAATGTCTTTTTAATGGTCTAGCTTGATGATCGATGAGGTCACCTTGTAACCAGAAGTTCCTGGATTAGGACCCTGGTGGTGGGTGCGCACTGACAAGAGTCCCAAACTAGAACGAAACAACTGCCCAGTACTCTTAGGTTTTCCAATGGTTCTCTAACTGATGTCAGCTCATGATGAAGTCCTCCAACCCATCAAAAAAACCCTACGAAAAGCAATACTTAAAGATTAATCTGTTAGTTAAAATTGTTTAATTTTCTTTGATTGTCAGCTAAAGATGGAGGTTAGCAAACTGAAGGAAAAAAATCTCATTCTCTTTTTTTATTGATGAAACTATTAACCACCATATGTCAAACAGTCACTTGCATACCTTTTATTTGAAAAAGTTAATAACAAAAAACGTAAACCTGACAGTGTTTTTGTTGCCAAAACGTAAATCCATTGATAAATCTAACAAGCTTTTTATAACTTTAAGTAAATAATCAGATACTTTGCAATGAAGCAAAGAGTCGGTTTAAAACGATGATTTTGTCGCTTTACTCAACATACTAAAACGTATCATTTATGATGTGAAAGAATTTACCTCCTAAAGTTTTTGCGATTTCTGCTATCAGCTGAGGTATTAAAAAGTATTACGTCTAAACTATCTTATCGCTTATCGGATAATGAGCTTTTAACAAAGTGAGTGAGGCATTGGAAATATTTGTTTGCATGTTTTAGCGTATTTCGAAAAAATTCACATGACTGCTAATTGCGTAAGCTTTTTATAATCTAATTCACTTATCGTATTGCCATCAGACCAATTAAATGTTATAATCAATGTCACTAGATTATTCACAATCCCGTGAAAATCCTGACATACTGTGACAAACCTTATAGTTAAAACATTTAAGGTGTATTTTAAAGATGTCTGGTTAATCAGGCTTAATCAGGTTAAACGACAATCACTGATGAAACTAGAAGATGTTCGGTTTTAAAATCTTCACACATTACGATTGTTTAATTTCAGTGATGTATGTATGAATGAATGGCTATTGGTTCACGAATGGCAGTCAGCGCTGTTCCTTAGTTCCCAGTGTCGATTCAAGATCACAAGTTTTCCTTACACTGACAACACTAGACTAACTGACATCACATTTCTGTACATTCTGTTGAATTATTACTTGTCGCTAGAGGAAAGTTTTTGTCAAGTTAATTTTGATGATTTTACAATCCTCTAGCGAAACATCTCTGATCGAAAATGGCTATTCCAACAAATTTATCAAGAAACATATGACAAAGAAAGCGGAAAATGACTACTCACTATCTGTAAACAAGAAGCCACTTTATATACGACTACAATTCAAGGGCGATATACCAAGTGAGATAATCATGAGGAAATTAAGAAAATCAGTTCAAAGAACTTTTAATGCTGGCGAACTACACGTCTTATTCTCTACGTGACCGATGGTGCCACCTCGACTAAAAGATGAAGTACTTAGACTAGCCGGCCACTTTAAATTGTATCCACCGATTCAACTGCGCTTGTGGAGCGAGTTATATTGGCCGTTGCTCTAGGAACTTGATTTTTCGTGCTGGAGAACATCTCCCACTATAGCTAAGTGAATGTGTAGTTAAAACCATTAACAGTTCGATATTGGACCATCTGTTGCACACCGACCACAAACCCAGCGTGGAAGAATCCTTCTCTATAATCTACCGGATGCCTAATAAATTGTCAAAATCGTCGAAGCACCGCATGCTCCAAACAGCAGAGGCTACTGCGATTCGCCTCAAACAACCAGTGTTTTGTGTTCAAAAGAAGCAAGTTCAGCCCCTACTATTGCCCTGGCCTCCAGTAGAAACTATAAACTCATGAATTTGTATTATTATCTTTCCTAATTCTTCTGACATTCAGCTTATTTTATGTTGATGCTACTGAGCTGTAATCTATTAATATTACTGATTCCAAGTTATTTGAACAACATTAATGTAGTTCATAACACTAACTTATTCATTCACTATAATGTATATATGACTGTAGAACCTGATGATGAATTTATCGAAAAGAGTATTCTTTGTTCAGTATCCATTCTTTTGAAAATTTTAATGGGCACTTTTAATCACTTAAAGGAAAGCTATGTTCCTTCATATTACTTTAACCTGAAAAAACACCAATAGTCTTTAAAGTCAATACGCCTTCTAGGGTACAGATATTAAATGAAATAGTCGTTTCTTGAAAACACCATTACGGCATTTCTGATGGCTGCGAATAAGCATGAAACCCTAATTTATTACTTTTTTCATATTAAACTTCAATAGCGGATAAAATGCACACTCTCAGTTATACCAGCATTCATCAGAAGGGTTTCGATAAATGCTAGTCCGTGAAGGGAACTAATTCCCCTCAAACTAGTAGATCAGGAGTAGTAAGATTACCAGAAAATAAGAATTTAGCTAAAACTAAAATGATCCATCCCACGAAGATAAGTAATTTAGAAAAAAAACTCAGAAATTTTACTGCATGCAATAACACACAAACACACAATAGTGTGGGACTGAGCCGAAATTCCAAAAAGTAATATATATGTAGGTGGAGAAAGAGATTGATCACTGAATCCTGCCTGGTTCATTGAGTCTGCACCCAACACATGCAAGAGAAGTGACTCAACGCAAATACCAGAGATATGGAAGATATTATTACTACCAGTCTAATCAGAGAATAATAAATGACGTTAAAATGTATTCAATCCACATTATAACATTCTAACGAGTTATTTATTTTTACTGTAAAAGACATCTTATCTCCCATCTGATTGTATTTTATCGATGATACTAATATTATTTCTGAATGTACTTTATCTTACACTGATTTTAGTTAAATATCTAATCAGTCTTTACTCATGTATATAAATGAAGCAGGAGAGTTGTGTGAATGCCTTGATATGATTATGAGTGGCAATAATTTGTGCTCGAAACGTGGTCATCAGTAAATATTACCAACTGTACAACACTGCGTGATTTGCAATTAATAGTGTTCTCTGAGCTGGTTGGTTTAGTTGCGGAGCTTTCGTCGTCTTTCTGAACGACATCTTCAGCGCAGTATTTAGGATAAAGTGAAATGATTTAAATTTCTTCATGAATGATATAATTACGTCTCCCGGTAACCATCTTTAGATATGTATTGACCGTTTTCTATTGACTTGGATTTTAAACTTTCTGATCACATGATTTACTTTTTTTTAGTTGGTATATTTCGTCTATATTAACGTGTGTGTTAATTGCATTTTCGTTTGAGTATCAGGCTTCTCGGAATTCCCCGGCACTTTTGGTGTTTCCCCTATCTAAGATTTTGACATTATCCCAATCAAATTGATGTCCATAATTGTCTGTATGCATTGATACTAAAGAATTTATATCATTTCTTTTCACAGCTGATTTGTGTTCTTGGATTCTTATTCGAAAGGGACGCCCCCTTTGGCCGACGTAATGCTTGTTACAGTTCATACAATTTATTTTGTAAATGGTGTTAATTTTATCTCCTTTTTCTGTTGGATCTTTTGGTTTGCATAAGATTGAATTAAGCGATTCTACTGGTTTGTGTGCTACATCTCTACCAAACGGTTTCATTATTCTAGCTGTTGTTTCAGAGACATTTCTGATGTATGGTAGGATGCATTTCTTTTTGGTCTTTGATGATGGTTCTTTGTTGGTGTTTTGATTCGACTTTAAACACTTTTTGATGAAATTTTGTGGATAACCATTCCTCTGCTTGATTTTATTAAAGTCCATAATGGATTTATACTCTCTGGCACAATGCCCAAGTTTTCTACTAATATCAATGACTTCCTGTATTGAGCAATAAGCTCTGATTTAACTTATAAATGTATTTGTATAACAATTATATAATTTATTTCTTTTAAAAAAGGGTTTCATGAGACAATAGAAAAGAAATTCTTGGTTAAATTGTTCAACAAAAACATAAACTATTTTTAGGAAAACAGTATCACAGTAGGCAATAATAATAGGAAAAAACAGGTAAAATTCAGTGTGGTTAACTTAACATATTTTTAGAAATCATCAACGGGGAAGAGAAATTCTATTTTTTAAGCTGTTAATATTATTAGAAAAAGAGAAACATTTACGAAGGCATCGTAGGCAACAATTGAGCGAATAATTTTATTTTAAAAAAGGGAACAGGATGATTTTGAAGAGAAAAATGTAAGGCACAATAAATGTTTAAAAAATTAGCGAAAATCCCACCGAATTTCATTGTGTACGTCGTTGATTCCAAACGCCTTTATCCTAAAAATATAATTTGTTTAAAACGATGAATAGTATAAAAATGGTTTACATAATCACATTTTCATTCTAAAGATTTTCATCTCTTAGGGAGATAAATGAATGGATGAATGATTTTCATTTACCCACATCATTAACCCTCTCTTAAATGAACTGAACAGAATAACCTCAACATTAGTCATGCTTCTTGCTTTAATGTGTAATAAAGACACTTGAAGTATATGCGTCTGTATAAAGTATCTAGGTATGAAAGGATAAAGTATGATAATATGTCTCTCTTAGACTACCATATATATATATATATATATATATATATATATATATATATATATATATATAAATTATTCCCTTGGCTTCTGAGTGGAACATAAGCCTTGAATAGCTGATCTCCATTTCAGATTTTCTGCTGTAGTTTTTTCTAACTGGCTCTACAGCTGCCCAGAAGCTTCGATCTCCACCTCATTCAGCCTTCTGTATGTTACCTTGGGACGCTCAACTCGTCAGTCCCCATCCGGTTTCACTAGTGAGTCTTCCCGGCCCGGAGCGTGATGCCACTCGACTGTCTACTAAGCGATATCCAGTCCACTTCTTTTTTCTCCTGCATGCTTGTTGGGCGATTGGTTCTTGGTTGATTCGTTCCCAAGGTTTCATGCTGCTAGTCCTTACTGGCCATCTAATCCTCAGGATGAAGTGAAGGCAGCTGTTGGTAAAAGTCTTCAGCAAGCTAATATAAATGCTTTCGGTGACACGCCAAGTCAATGAGCTATACAGAGGTACTGACTTGACATTAACGTTGGAAATCTGAATCTTGCTCTCTATTCTAAATTCAGCGAAAATCCACGGTTGTTTTAGCTTAGTGATGGTTTGGTTTACTTTCCCAATCCTGCCTTTTACATCCTCATCAGTGCGTCACGTACGTGGTTGGAACGATGTTACCTAGATAAGTGAAAGAGGTGACTTCCATCAAATATCTCCCGTTGATGGGGGTCGTTATTTCTTGTTATTAGTTAGGTATCTTTACCACCTCTATCTTCTCTATAAAATTTCTTGTAGCGCCTACATTTTCTAAACCCAAGAGTGTTTATGGCATAACTGTCAACTGGAAAAAAATTGGCAGAAAATTGGTGTTTATGAACACTGTTTTCATTGCCAGTTGATACTGATTGCAGAAACATCGTAAACAGGTTAGAACAAGCGAACTATTTTCATCATGTTTATGTATTACGTATTCGAAATCAAAAGACTGAACTCCAATTAGATATCCAGGTTAACGCATTATTGCTTTGGTCAGTAGGACGGAAATCAATGTGTTAGCAATTTCATATACAGACATAAAACATGAAATACTGCTTAGAAAGTTATTGTATGAATTTTTAGCATTCTGTATACCATAGAATTGTCTCCTAAGTACTAGTGTCTGGGTATTTTCATTTATCAGTCATAATGTCCAATATATTCTTTATTCATGAGATGTTTTATCGAACTTATATTAAATTTAATCCATATAATTTAATTCTTCTTTTTTGATTACTAACAAGGAAATAACTCACCTCTTCCGGGAAATGTCTAGCTGCAAACAAAGTTTCTAACAGATTAGTACGCTTAATATAACTTTTTGATGAGTGCCGTAGCCGAATACTTTGAGAAATTGTAGATAGGTAGGATAGCATCCTAAAACTGCGACGAATTTCTTGTAAACTAATCTACGTATCGATCCCTGTTCAATTTGATTATCTGATTACTTCAAAGCTGAAGTACTTAATATACCTGTTACATTATTCAACAGCTCTATTAGGCGACTTTTCACAGGATACAGGCATTAAGTAATATATATTGATTATAGCTTGATTCCACACAGTACTTTTGGCACAACTATGGAATTTTTAGCATGTGATATCGGTAGCCCAAATTTTGTTGGCCGACCAATGATATAAGGTGTGCGTCGACAGGGGATCGAGCCCTGGACCATGTGCATGGTCAGCGAGTGTCCTAACCGCTATGCCACCAACGTATATGTGTGTATATATGTCGTTGTGGATCAGTAGCACAGTGGTAGTCCGGCTGACGCCACCCTTTATCTCAATAAGTCAGTAATAAAACCAGTAAAGAGGGGATGTTGGACATGTGGCTAACAAACCCATCCCGTAAAAACAAACACCGCTGCCACCAAGACTTCAAGCCTCTAGCCTGAAGCTCTATGTTCCACTAGGAAGGCAAAGGAATAAAAAATATATATGTGACGTTACAAATGTAAATATATGTTGATTGTACAAATGACTTTTTTCTCACCTTTTCATTTCTCCTTCATAAATCACGTAATGCCGAATTCACTGCATCCATACAAGTTCGAAAATAGTCCGACTGAGCCTGTAAAAGTTTCTCCAACTGATTCTTTTGTGAGTCCTAGTTATTGTCATTATTTGTTAAATATTGGGACCACATATTGTTGCGTGTTGAAAGAATAAAAAAGTGAGACAAATATTCACAAATATGGCACTACTTCAAAATTACTCTGATTAGACATATTTGCAAAAATTTAAACAATCACCTCTCCGAATAAAAGTGTTTATAAAATTTCATATACTATAAATGGAATTTGTATGGAGAGACCATTTACATAATTAAAAACAAAATTAAATGGAGGATACTCATAAAGTAATAATAGGCAGAGAACCTGTCTGAGAAAACTTTGATTCCGCAGGCTGGTATTAAAGTATCATTATTATTATGACGCAAACTTGGGATATTATGGACACCAGGAGGTGAGCAACACAAAATCCCATTTTGTGCCAAGGTTTTCAAGCTCCCTCAGGTAGAACTGCATGTTCACCAGTTCAATTGTAAGGGCTAGGCATGCTTATTAGTCCCTTCATTTTTGTGAAGGACATACTGACCACATGAAAGCAGTGAATAGGACTTGTCTGGCAGAGGCTGTTGACGCGTGGCTACGTGAAAGCATCACAAGAGAAAGGCTGAAGTCTACCCACTCTCGGCTGTACCAAGTCATTTATGGGGACGGTAATAAAGTAATGGATGGTGAGTGAAGAGAATAAAATTAAAATCTAAGTCGCATTAGGATTCTAAACAACAGCCTCCAAATTATGAATACCGATTTTCTGCTAGCTAAATTGTAAGGATCAGTTGCTAATCTGGCCATCATGATATTAAGACTATACAACATAAGTGTGCTTGCATAAAAATTAAATTCAAATCACATTCATTTTCATTTCATTTTCAAATAGCTCGTATCATTTTGACGTGACTGTTGGCGATGAATTGTGTTCGAAGTGTCGCCTAGTCACTGACACTTTTTTATCGTCTTGTATGCCAAGCACACTTATCCAAAATGGATCTGAAGGAACTAGTTAGATATAATTTTTAAAGTGCTTGAAGGAAAAAATATGTAACATATATCTGAATCCTGATTTCAGAAATATATCATAAGTATTGGGGGGGGGGGTAACACTTATCGAAATGAGAGAGTAATCAGACTAAGAGCACAACTGACAAGAGCCTCAACTATGATGGGACCTCAGTCATCAAACCAACGGCCCCTTTTCTGACAGAAATGTGGTTGGAGAATCTTGATTACACAACTTAAAACAGATAATACTTTATTGATTCCGAAATTTTTAAACCTATTTATTTTCAACGATTTACACCAAGGAGAATGAATGAACAGAATGGTACAAAACATGAAGGTAGGACAAAGAGTGAGATACATCAAGAGTGAATTAAGACCAATTAAACCTTTCGTATGCTAATACTAGTAAAAATAATTTATACAGTTACCTGATATTGTGATTTTAAGGTTAACTTGTTAGTAAACACAATACGCTGGCCTTCTTAAGTCACTGGGCTACCTGAACTTTCTATCCATCAAAATGAATCGTTTTTACTCAATTTCAAATTATTCTTATTCTCTAATTTTCACAGTAGGCTGCAACCAATACTTGCACACAACTTTAAACAGTTTTCTACCTACCACTAGGGATTTTTCGAAAGAAATCCAGGAAGAAGACTTTCGAGTAGCATTGAAGCATTTTTCAGGTGGATTAATACCGCTTCAGATGATGTATAATCGATTGTTATATTATTCGGAGATTCTATACATCGGGTAAATACCTTGCAACAGAACTCACTGGAAATTCTGGGTCATGCATAAACAAATTTTTCTCAGAACAAAGCTGTTATTATTGACCTTTTCTCTTGTGTACATCACAGCAGCTTAAATTATACTGCAGTTAACATTTCCTTCTAAATTTTCAATCTTCTTTTACTATTTATTGATTAAATTGATGTCCGAATGTAAAATGACGTATACATATATAACATTCACCTATTCTGTAATCCCCATTTTATCGGTAATAAGATATTTTAATGAACATTATCACCGTTATTGTATTATCACTATCCGTTCTTCATTCCCTAATGGAATATAGGGTTTCAGATGCACATTGCCATTACTGTACGCGACTCTCTGGTGCCACTATCATCTGACACCGCCAGTGCACAAAGAATCTCATTGACTGTTCAAAATAATCTTCTCCATGTCACCCTCAGAACCACGTCCAACTTGTTCACTTGCCATCCAGTTTTCAGTCGACAGCCTACGTGTAACATTTGAAATCGCTTGAAGTTTCCCACAGCTTATATCAAATTCATTGCCATTTCCTTCTGTATATTGCGTTTAGTAGTTAGGTTCTTGGCTGATTCGCCAACAGCGTTTCTTACTGTTTATGATTTCTACTCACATTTTGTTAGGCGTTTCTAAGCCTGATAAAAGGGAGAAGGTTGACCATGAGGCTGTAAAGAACGGCCCCATCGTTAGTGAAACTTTAAACCACTGAATAAATTAACTTATTCTCCTCCGGAGTCGGGGGAGGGGGGAAACAGATGACATCTAATGGCTTCGAGAAGGCAACCAACTAATGTGCCCTCCTTGATGAAAACAAAAGTAAGCATAGGGATATGGAATATCCGCACAATATTTGAGAATGACAAGGCTGATCAAACTGTAGAGGTTTTAAATGAACATTAATGCAACGAATTATTGTTATATAGTGTGCGATCATCGGAAGTGCAATCTTTGATTCATTATTTCCAGTTGTGTAACATATTAGTACCCATGAAACAGTGGAAAAATATTTCACATTCCGACAGGATGTACTGTTAGCCAGTACCTAAATTAGCTTGACAACTTTTTCAGGGTAATCGTATGTTCAATAAACGATGTACTCTAAGCATATCCGAACTTTTGATTTGTCAACTGTCTGTCTGTCTGTCTGTTTTCGACATAAAACTCTGCACCGATGTACAACAGTTAAAGTCGTCACACTCCATGTAGCTCACAGAGCAAGAGAAGAAAGTAGAAGAAATGCATAATAGAGACAGGAAATAGAGGTGTGAGACAAAGGAATAGCAGTAACGAAGAATAATGTAGTTTCATTGGAAATCATAAGTAACAAGGAGTAGATGCAATCTGCGCCGTTGAGAACGATTTTGAGCCATATCACTAATTGTTTCCAACCATTGGTTTTTACCGTCCCGAGGACCCCAACCAGTCAGGAAGTCTATACCTTCCTACATGGCTTAAACTAACTGTTGTGGATTTCATTGACTAATTTTTCTAAAGGAAATTAGTAAAGCACTTAGGTTGTTTCTCTTGCAGAATATCTCCAGAAGTAAGAACTTACTCTGTAGTACACATTATAAAACGACAGTTTGAGTGAAGCTTAATGATACAATCCCTACTAATTCTTGGCAAACTCAGAAAGCTCATTTAAGTGGTAAACCCTAAAATGTCGCCAATCCAGAGGACTTTATGTATTCAAATGTGTTCGTTAATTCCGTCTAATGTAAGCGCCACTGTTACACATTCTGTTACTTATTTGTCAGCAACATTTGTGTCTCATTCGAATAAGTATTTCATTGGTTCCCGTATACATCTTCTTGCAGCTTTATAAGATTATTATTATTAATATTCAAGCGAATCCCTCCATCTGAATGACAACAGAATGCAACAAAGTCTTTATCTGATGTCGCCACCACCAAAATATTTTAATCCTGGTTGTATGAAGAACTGCTTACTCAACAACAGAGCTATCAAATGTTGACAGATCTGATTTCGTTAAACAATTATCCATTCAATGAACTCATTTACTGAAAATGAACTAAACAAGGACCTATTGTCCCGCAAATATGAAGAGAGAGTAATGGCGATAGATTTGATGTAGGTTTGGGGAACCTGTAAGAGACATCACACACCAGGAAGGCTGTCAATTAGAAAGTGAATAAGGACCTCAGAGTTGAACGGGATTCCAACGGTGACCTGGGAAAGACCATGTGAAGAGGCGATGGAATCTTGTGAGCAGTGGTGGAGTTAGACGAAATTGATGGAAGAGAGCCATGTATACAGCTGATGTCCTAATGAAGCCCTGTATCCTGCTAGGGAAGCAAGGACTAAATAATGATAATTTGCAAAAATGTTGCAGTGATTAGTAAGCGTTGACGAAACAATCTTGTCACATGTATTTTGATGAGCTTCTACTTGTTTTAACTTCCAGGTATATTATTATATAATTTTAGCCTACTCTTTCTTCCTATTAGTTTGTTTATACTTCTCAAGTCACATATACGCACCACAACATCTGGCATCTATAAGATAAGCATTTTTTATTCAAATGTTTCGTACATAACTTATAAGACAAAAAGCATTACAAATGGAACTTACAAATTTAGCAACACTTTCTTCTAAAACCCTTTTTGTAGCAGCACACTGTCGATCGAACTTCAACTGAGATTCATCTAGCTGCCGTGCTAAATCCTTGATCGAAAAAATGAAAGGAAAATTCGTTCTTAAAATGGCTTTTGCTAGGTTAATTCAGTGACAATGAGTTCAACAAACAGATAGTGGAAGGATATACATGACCTTAATGACTAACAACTCGAAACTACTGACTTTTTCTAGACGATGCGTGTCTGGCAAAATGCATGAGACACTTTACCAATAGGTGGTTCACTGGAAGAATACTCGCCAACCACACACATTGTCTAAGGTTTGATCCCCGGTCGATGCACTCCTTAATCTCGCTTAGCAGGTCCTAATCCCGTAAGAAAGGGTGGATTAAGCATGGGGCTAGCCACCAGTAGAAACTTCAAAGCACAACAGAAGTATCAAAATCAAACTTATTCTTCTCTGGAGTCAAAGAGACAAAATGACGTGGACTGTTGAAAACCTCTAGGAAGCCAGTAAACCTATGTATCTTCTTTCGATGAAAGAAAAATAAGCATAGGGACGTGGAACTGGTCACGGTTAAACAAATATGAGTGACTGAAGATTTTCTGGTAGTCTCTGAGTTTGATTCTTTTTTCAAGTAAAGTTGTCAGATTCAATCATCATATTACCATCATTTTTGGCATTACAAATAAATAAATTGCGTAAATCTCTAAAGAGTATGTTTTAGAATGAATGATATTAGACTAATCAATCGACAAAATAAATAAATAAAGCTCCACCTTTTTAAGACAATTGCGTCGACTACTCTTTCTCTTATACCTTTTTATTTGTAATAAAAGTTAAAATAAATCAACTTATTCAGTGAAATGAAAATGCTTCATCATTTAACAAATAAATCAACGTGTTGATAAATTCACACATACTTCCTGTAAACAGTATTATATTCATTTAATTCAATTTGCACTTTCCTGCTGAGTGACTGGACCGAAGTGCTCGGGTTGAGGTTGAAATGTCACCTCCTCTTGTGTAGATGTTTCGACACCGTCTGGTCATTTAACTTGAAGTCAGCTGGTGGATCATGACTATCAGTGAAATCCAGGACAACGTGCATTTTCACTTATTTGTGACTCGTTGATGGATATACTTGCATTCCCTAGTGAATGATGATGAGCTTGAACCTCAGTGGGAATAGCATCACTCACTGGGGAATGCAGGTATATCCGGTGACGAGTCCCTAATAGGAAGAAATGAGCATCCTGGATTCTACTGCAAGTCACCATCCTCCAATTTACTTCGAGTTTTATATTAACTTGTATATACTGCATTAAACTATAACCAACTTTTTCAAGAGAATTTAAGCATATTCAAAGCACACGTCAAACTATTAAGTTTGTCAAACCTCCTTTTTAACAACCATTGTCGGTTTTTAGAAGGTAACTTTGCATTCAACTGAGGAGACATTTTTTATTTTAAGTAGCTTAAAAATCTCCATTGAGTCACATAAAAAGAGAAGATGTTCAGCGGAGAGACTCTTTTCTTAATTTAATAAAATCAACATTCCGGACTTTCCTTCAATGTATCAGCCTTCAAATTTCAATGATAAATGGATGATGTGATAATCTTTGTATATTGTTGAAGAAATTAATATTTTACGCTTAACACGTACATACACATACATACTTTCAGCAAGGCCTTAAACTTCGTTTCTATCAACGAATATCGACTGTCGTAAAAACTTCGCATAATTAGGTTCTTAAAACCAGTATACAGGGTTTTCACCATCAAGCAAATGCAACAACAGAAATTTAAAGAAGAATTATAAAACTGACTTTTTGTTTATCATCTTTGGTGCGTTTATGCAATGTCTTCAAACGGTCCAAATCCAGCCTAGCAGTTTCCAAGTTTTCTCGTTCTTGCTATCATTACAAATGGAGAAAAACTGGATAATTTCAATTTAATAAGATTATCAGGAGAAAGCTGATTAAATACAGAATGAATATGAGGAAATAGAATGCATAAAGCCTTTCTCACCTAGATACAGATTGTATTTAAAAGATGGGCTTAATAACCTGTCAAAATACTATTTATTACTGCTGCTTAATATTCCTCAAACTGGAAGTGGATATTTCGAGGTGACATGTCTCCATAATTAACGTTCTTGAAGTATTTCTGAATCTGATAACTCAGAGTGGCGCACTTCTATGAAAGGTTCCATATTAGTCTGTTAATGTGTACTAAGTTCTAACACTGCCTAGTTTTTAAAGTATCTTTCAAGAAGTACAGCTGTAAGACACTGACAAACATTTATCAACATACACTCAAAGAATCAGAGAAATTGGTTGTGAATATCAGTCAAAACTTACCATGAACATGATCTAACATTGCGGACGTTATTACTGCTCTAGTATGCAATTACAAAGCTGAACTAAATAGTCAACATCTACACTATCTCTATCTAAATAAACAATTTTACGAAAGACAGTCAGGCAAACAAGTCACTTCCAGTCATAACATGAGATTACATCCGTTCAAATTCCCTCACACTGAAGCAATATCTATAAAACAAGAGAAATGTACTGATAACACAGTGAATGAACATGGATCATACCAAAAAGAAGACAATAAAGTAAGAATTGCTTGAAAGGTACAGGACTTCAAAGATAAAGACAATTGAGCAAATATGGCATGTTGTGTAAGCATTTAGGTCGTATCAGCACGAGCCTCCAAACACTGAAAGCAATATCACAGGAACAAAGAATTATTTCTGTGAATGTATATAAAAATTACAAACTTTATGCATTGATCACATGTCTCTATTTGATTACAACTTGCTCTTTTGCAACCCTCCCCACCCCTACCCCGGAAGTCTTCCGTTTCAAAGAAGAACACCTTGCAGTTCATATACACAAGATTGGAATCCAATAATCTATTTTAATCATGAGCTGACATCAGTTAGAGAACCACTGGAAAACCTGGGAGTACTGGACAGCTGTTTCGTCCCAGTTTGGGACTCTTCAGCAGTACGCACCCACCGGGATTCGAACCCAGGACCTTCTGGTTACAAGGCGAGCTCGTAGACCATTGAGTCACTGGGACCCGATCCAATGGTCCTTGAATTCTAACTTCTGCCAATTCACGACATAGCGCGACCACTTCACAATGTCTTCTTCGATGAGTCACTGCCTCATCTTCAACCTGCTGTACCCTACTGGTCACGGCTTCCCATTAGAACCCCAGGTTAACTGCCTGAATAGGGCCAGTCACTAGTGAGCTTCAGATTAATTTTCAAGTATTGGTTTTGTAGGGATTTTGTTTGATTGCATGGAGGATTTAATCATGAGCTGACATCAGTGACCAGTAGGGTACAGCAGGTTGAAGATGAGGCAGTAACTCGTCGAAGAAAACATTGCGAAGTGGTCGCGCTATGTCGTGAATTGGCAGAAGTTAGAATTCAAGGACCATTGGATCGGGTCCCAGTGACTCAATGGTCTACGAGCTCGCCTTGTAACCAGAAGGTCCTGGGTTCGAATCCCGGTGGGTGCGTACTGCTGAAGAGTCCCAAACTGGGACGAAACAGCTGTCCAGTACTCCCAGGTTTTCCAGTGGTTCTCCGACTGATGTCAGCTCATGATTAAATCCTCCATGCAATCAAACAAAATCCCTACAAAACCAATACTTGAAAATCTATTTTAACTTCTGATACCACAGCTGAGATCCTGAAGAATCGCTTATGCAGATCATTGAGGAAAGCCTTCTTTATGGCTGAGCTACTTATCAATTTCTACAGCCGACAAGTGATCAACGGAAGTGTGAAGGATAAACTGCCGCTTTAGGCCACCTCAGTGTGTGTTTATAAATTCACCTGCTCGTGTGGACCTAGTTATATTGGCCGCACAAAGCGCACGCTTTCCAAACGCACCTCTGAACATTATCTGGCATGGATAGCAAAGGGACAATGTAAGACAATTACTAGCTCGAGCATTTGGTGAACTCAGGCCACGTAGCTCCACCACAGTCGTCTTTCGAGATTATCTACAAAGTGAAGCCAAGTGGTACAAAGGGCGTCAGGTTTCGGCTTTTGTGTATGGCGGAGGCGCTGGCAATTCATCAATACAACTCTGAACTCTGTATACAGAAAAAGTTTGTCCAGTCTCTCATTCTATCTTGGTCTTACCCTCTTCACTAATCGTTCCCTGTAAAATATTTTTGATCCTTTCTTTTGTTCTTAATCTTTAATTTTATTTTTAGTTTGCTTTTGCTTTAATAATTAATTCACTATTATCAATTTCATATGATCCTTTTGTATATTTTCACACCCTCTTCACACTTGTTAAATTGACACTCAAATACATTTATTCTCACTACTCGATAGCAGTTTTAACCTAATCAAATTTCTATCTTTGTACCGTTGAGTACCACGTAGTTTACAACTTTTAATTTTCACTTCTAATGCCACTTCTAATAAATTATATCACTTATGTCACCCCCTATTACTCAATAATAAACCGCTGCATATTTTTGTAAGTATAAATACTACTGTACAGCCTCTGAAGATGATTTTGTCGTTCAAGAAAATTTTCTTCGCTGAATCTATCTTTTATTTTGATCAAATGATTAAGTGGCGATACAGTAACTTCCCTTCACAGAATATCTATCCTCACATTACAATGGGTATTCACTGTGGAAGGAAATAAACATGTCACTATCTTTCTGTATTAACCATGAGCGATAAGATTTTCAACAGTTGGATATATTCTGATCAATAACTATATGCTTAACAGTTACATATTAGAAATACGTTATGCAACCTAAAAAAAACAACAGTCACTTCTCGTAAACTCTCTGAGTGGATTGAACCATTCTCTAGATTAAAACACGTTTAGACAGGTATGTTAAAATAGAAATATGATATTGATGCCAGAGTTGCCAGAGTCTTGTTTAAACCTGAATCAAAAGAAAAAGTTAACGTGACATTTCAACTTCTACTATCATAATATAAGAATTAATCATAAACTTACTTTGGCAATTTTGGCTTCATTTGATATATACGCACGTAACCATTCAATATAATCTTTAGTAACTGTCTCTTGTAATTTTTGTTCAGCTTGCCCAATTTTTATTTGACTCGCTGCACAAGTCTTAAGTGCGGAACCTAATCATTATAGAAACATATATATACATAGTTATCTTTTAATCATAGATATTCTTATTGATTGATAATGTTAACTAATGTGTTGACTGATCCAGGGTGCGAAATCGTTGAATGAGTGTCATTTTAAATCTTGTGGAGAGGCATAAGTTGTCTACTTAGAGCTACTGAAAGGCTCAAAGTCAAAGATTTGAAACCGCCAATATCGTGGTTCACAACTAATCACTAGACTAGAAGTATAACCACCTTCCATTCATTTTTAAATCATGAAAATTCCTAATCTCATCTCATGTCTTATTCCTCTGATTAAAGATCTTTCTCCATATATTCTTCGCTTCTTTACTTTACTTCAAGACTCAACAACTTGATCTGTTCTTACCTCTGTGAAAAGTAATGAAGTGCTGAATGGTTAGCTGTCAGTATTCACAGTCTAAATACTTTAAAAATTATGTTTGCAGCAAGAAAAGAAATCTGGTGCCATGATAATGTTTTATTTTCAAAACTTTTAGCATATTTAATTTACCAATCAATAGGTCGTTCAGTCTTATAGGCACAGACAAGCTTTAGACGAAACCTCCAACACATCTTTTTCTTTATGCCTAGATTTCATGTGAATTTTGTCAGTTTTTGCATTCCTTCTAATATTTCTTATCACACTTGTTGGCAATCATTCTGGTGCCACAAAGAAGTGTAACAATTAATACTTCAGTATATTTAACTACCCGATAGAAATGAATTTTAACTTAGTCATGGGACAATACTGTAGTTTTAAATGGACATTCCTTTACCTTTTATATATCAGAAATCTGTACGCGTAGATTAATTGCTAGAGTTTCAAAATAGGTATACTTTGACAGAATCTGAGAAATTTCAGTCATCTATGAACTCGTGGAATAAAAATCTGTAAACGTCAATGAAAAAACAGTTCAAAGTCTTCTCTTTCTTTCCAATAGTTCTCCAGTTGATATCAAAGCGTTAAGAAAATTGTTATAAGAATTAATCTCTTCCTTTTGTGACAAATAATCAACGCATTTTATAGCTTAACAACAGCTCATCAGTTAGTCAGTTTTGCCTTTTCTTAGTGGAAAGACAATTGTTTTTAAGTTGAACCTTGCAAAGAAGTTTATTCTTTCACAATATGACAGAGTATTAGTATGTGAGCTAGAAACCTTATATGACCATCCAGTGAATTACAGTGTATTATGCGTGAAAAAAGATACGTTCATAAATTTGACATGGTTTATTTAACTATCAAAATCAGTATTTTTTGGTGAGCGGGGAGAGGATTTCAAGCAAAATATCTGTCAGAATATTATTTAGTGAGCACCATTATACAGTATTATAATTCATGCAAACAAAATATTATTTTGAATTTTACAGGAATACTAGCGCTAATCACCGGTATACAAAAGTCATTGCTAAGGCAAGAGATCTGTCCATGAGCCATATAACGAAAAACGTACTACACCAATAGATACATTTATATCGTTTTCTATACTTGTAAGCTTTAAAATTTCTGTGTTGAAAGCACCTCCTTCCGTTGAATTGAAAGCTTATGATTAACAATGTATTGATATTTGTGTAGAATTAGAGAAACAGAAATTTTATCACCTTTTTTACCAAGGGAATGTATTGAATTCAGTAATGATATATGTTATCGTTATCCTACATCATTTGATTCATAAATATGATATCTCTGAATGAAACCAGTGCGTATACTTTTCTGATCAAACAATAAATCACTCACGAGATCTAATTCATAAATGCATGCTAGTTAGTATCTTTTGTACTAATTCACGTTTTTAATATGATAGTTCGTTCAAGTGATTATTGTAAAAATACGAATCAGAATGCGCTGTTTTGGAAGACAGAATGAAGATTAAACATTGCATTACTTGAATCATTGCTTCATACAAATAGACAATTTTCTTCTTAAATGTGCTGAATAATCGATAATACAATAGCACTGATACTTTTAGAAACGAAAAGAATTATAATTTTTTATTTGGTAAGAGAAGAATATGTTCTTTGATATGAAGGTTCTACAGCATGATTGTCTGAATAGTTGAGAGGGTTGAATGTAATAAGAAGCTGCCTTTATCCTAAAGACATTAAGAATCATTTTAGGATAGGGAAATATTGCTGTCAAAAGACAAAAGGCATTAAATTATTTTGAACTACTAGAGTATTTTCTGTTTGCACTATGGCTAATGGTTAAATTAGTTTCACCACTGAAATAAATATAAATCCATATATATAAGTGTTAATTTGACTAATCACCACCACAAATGACGAATAAGTGTACCTATCACAAGCGTTTAATTTCAGCCTTAGTGATAATATATCAAGTAAGATATATTTAAACCATATATATCACGAAACTGCTTGTTTTCAATTTCATTTCGGACCTTCACCTTACAGTGTCAATCAGACCATTATTAGCACAAACTAGGTAGTTCAGCATACTAGATATCCTACGGACTGTCTCAAGTAAAATATAAGCTTATGGTGACCATATCAGCTATTCCTCAAGTCTATAAATGTAGATTCGGAATGTGAAGAGTTTACAATAGAATCCACCAATATATAAATTGATAACAAAATGCAGTCAGAAGAATATTACAACATCTCATAACTTGCCCCCAGGAGTTCTTGCTCCAAGAAGGTCTCCGATGTTATTCATACTATCTCCCAGCTGTTCACCCGCACTTATTCGTATTTTCTTTCTGTCCATATTTTTAAGTATAAGATCTTCAACGCGTAAAGCTATAACAAATGGAAAAAGTCATCATTTATCAACAACATTATTCCCATAACAACTAAGTATTATCACTCTATAATTTAAAATCATAGGTAGCTTCTCACTTATACCAGTTAAACTCACTAATTTATATTTTCTGATTAACTTGGTGTAGTATATAATTCCCAAATGGCAGAAATGTTGATAACTGTAACTTAATTTAGCATTTTAAGTGTTAATAGCAGGGTGAAACTCCTCCGAAGCGTCGTTATTTTCATTGATATCCCTCTTACTAAAGAGGATGAAATCATCAACTTTTCTGTCAAGAACTCTTCATATCAGTGTGCCATAGGCACATGTTAATACTAGGGTACAACTGTATCAATTTTATTGTATGTCTTTGAAAGAGTGGGTAGAAATATTTATCAACTGCCGATAACAAATTCTAGCTTCTAGCTTTATTATTACAAGGTTCATTTTATCTTCAAACTTGTTTCGATTAATTTTCAATACTAATTTAAGATCTTGTTACGTTTATACCCTTTAGGACTCCAGTTACATCCTAAGGAAAAGTTAACACGTTTTAGTTATATAGTTTACTTAGAACTTTTAAATTAGGGACCAAATGAAACCTTGGTAACAAAAAATAACTTTAATAACAAAGATTTAGAATTACAGAGCAACGACAGTTACAACTAATAAATCGTGCAGATTTATTGACATTTACCAAAAGTTAGTAGAATTTACTACGCAAAACGTGACTGTCTAACCACACAGTGACGCACGTTTTCAGCAAAATCACTGAAACAAGTTCGTTTATGAACAACATTATTTTTTCAGTGTATTTCTTTGTTAATGCAAAAGGCGGTTGTGGTCACCGTAGTCTTGCAGCGCCGTCTTAGTTATTTGCATCTTTATTGAACGCGTCTGCAACAGCAAATAGTGTTCATAAAAGGCTGAAACCTACGAGCCACCTAGCGAAACACTGTCGCATGTGCCTTAAATAATTCACTAACGGCACAGTTTCTATTACAAAGTCAGAATGTAAAAGTTGATTTAACCGAGAATGACACTGTGGATGTTATATGACTCGCATGACTTTCGCTTATTCAATTCTGTTTAGTTGTGAATTTCTCATTTTTTAAATACATCAGAAAATTAAGCCTTCAATCTTGTTCTTGAAACTTTTAGTGGGTTAGCTTAGTCCCATTTCTTTAGTAAATATACTGACGAAGGCTAAAAATAAACTTAGATTTTGTTAAACGCACATCTTTGTCCTAGGAGCAGTGGCAGTTTAATATCTTAACGCAAAAATTACAAGTCGGTTCTCGTGAAGTTAACGCTCAGTTACATTAGTTTGATGGATACTAGCAACCTATCCTTGATAAAAGCATGTATTATGGTATACGGAGACGACAACTTAGAAAAGCGTTTCAAGAAAAAAGTGAAAGGCGACTATAGATATTTAGTCTCTGTTTTCTGTAATATGAAGGGCATTAGGCAATAGCACATTTTTGAATCTTGGAAATAATAGCGCTTTTTACTTCATTGGACATTTTGAAACAGATAACAGTAGATTAACCAACTAACATTATTGTCATTTAGGAACAAAATCTCCGGTAAGGTCCGTAGCTGTTTTATATTCATGTAAAGATAAAAACTCTGTTGTTCTACTGGTAGCGCACCACAGATTTACACGAGAAATAACTATGCTTATAAACTAAATTAACTGCTCCCTAACAAAATTGTTCACTTTAAAATAGGAAGTGTGGTGATAAAAACCTTAAAGGAAACAACCATAACTTAATTCACTACTGCGAAACATTTATGTAGACGGGAATAATTCCTGGCCACGCGTTACATCTCTCTTGAGTTCTTATTTTCTTCTTTTCCTTGTAAATCATCAAGTAACGGAAATGTGGCCCACAGAATTAAGGCCACTCGCCCATCTTTGCAAATAACTTGAATGTTTCCTCAAGGTTATGTTGGTGTAATACGCCTGAAGTTATAATTTTGTCCTTGGCAGAAATTCTTCTCATGTCATATATTTCTGTAAGTGATCGTTTCTTCATTCTCTAAGCATAAAGGTGCAACGATAATTGATTACCTTCTATATATTACGTGGTTCCTCTAAAAGCAGTTAACAGATGGTTCTGTTGAACATATTGCTCAAAAACTCGCATAATGATGTACACCTTTTATTTAAACTAATAGCATCCCCTTATAAAATCACGAAAAAAGAATGAGATGTACTTAAGCTGAATCGCGCAATGTATTGGCGCAACACATTTTCTACCTTCTGGTCGCACATGTACCTGCCAAACATATTCATGTATAATGTAACAGCATAAAGAATAAGAAATTTCATTAATAAAGGTCATTTTTTGCGGTTCAAGATTACGGAAAAGAAGCATAACGACCAGATAATGACTCATAAACATCCTGACCTATAGTGATAAGAACTCTAAACTATAGCAGCCCAAAACGAAACTACCTCTAGCAACCATTCACATTGGTAAGAAGTAGAAATGCTCAATTTGAAATAAACGTCTATATACAAGCGATGCAATGTTAAAAAGTGGTTACATAGGATAATATTCTTGTGTATGTTCGAAGAAAACCCCCCGGTTTCTTACAGAAGTCCTTATAGTCAGGTTAAAACAATTTGTGCACATAAATCCGTCAACGTCGTCAATTCGTTCATTAGGTAGTTTCGTTTTAAGTTGCTATAGTTTAGAGTTACCGAAAGTGGATCCTTTACGCTCTAATACCTTGCATATAAACATGCATGAAAAGTGAGTGGGTGTTTCTTGTTCAAATTTTTGTTTTAAAACTAACACCACACAGCCAAATGCTACATAGATAGTACTATAATTTTCCAGAACACCAAAAAGATGAAATAAGTTGTGATTTCCACGATGATTCTCACCTGGATTTGGCTGAATCATGTTTTCAGTCTGAGCTACCAGACTTTCCGCCCATTTTCTTCGCTTTTCGCCTTCCTTAATCAGTTCGTCTAGTGCTGCATCAAACGGTGTTCGTTCAGCAGTACTAAATGCCTCTTCCGCCATCTGTGGTGATTGAAATTCCCATCAAATAATAAATCGCACCTGTATAACACGTCCAAAAAAGGTGTTCGCATTTGTCTGAAAATTTTGAACATCCATTTTGTTCTTGTCAAAGCCCTATAATTCTAATCTCAGTTACAAATAACACAGCTTAACAAGCGAGCTTAAATCCATAGTTAATTTAAACGAACATGATTTTCAATATCCAATATCATCTTTTCACGAGCTGATATAGGTAAATTTGATTTCTTTGTGCTTGCTGGTTGTGAGCCAGATGTTTCTCCTCTTTGGAAAACTTTTGTGTAGTTCGTCTAACCACTCTACTTGTGTAGCTTTGGTTGACTCCAAAATTAGTGGTTCCGGGAACTGTTATTTGTACTTTGTTGTATGCAGTTTGTCAAGACATCGTCGCTACTGTGAATGAAGTTGATCCTTTCACCCATTAGTCTTCTGGTGCCACCGAAAAAACAAAGAGGTAGTAATAACAACAGGTATTATTAGTGTAGGTTGACTTAAAAAAGGAAAGAAAACAGGCAGCTAATGGAATCTGAGACTGATACACACATGTATACTTCGTACATACATATGTTATATGCATATCAACAGCAATAATAACGGTGTAAAAGACATTACTGTTGGAGTGGTAAGGTGAGTAAGACATAACAGAATGTGAGGAAGTGAAACGATGAGTTTAGATGTCTACCCATTAAAAATGTGTGAGCTTTAGGAGGACGTGCCGTTAAGACGTAGTTCTTGTGCCGTCACATGATTGTGAAGCCTTCTCTTAGAGATTTTTTCTGACGTCACAGTACGTGCATCTGCCGGTAAAGAGTTCCAGGGACGGAAGAAAGAAATGGGGGCGCGTTCAAGTCTTTTCTCACTAAGGAACCATACTTCGTGGAAAAAACCTGGGATTACTGGAGTAATGTTTCTCCCTAGTTTCGGACTCTTTGTTTGTACGCACTCACTGAGATTCGAACCCATCAAAGACCAAACCATATGTTGCCGGTGAAATACAGTCCAAAGAATATTGGCAGTCCACAAAATGAAAGATTAATTTCGACTTTCAGATGAGCCAGGTAGGCCAGGCGTTTCACAGCGATTCCCATTATTACGCGACTTTTCCAAACATACTCGTCTGATGAACAGAGAAAATCAAGTGCTGACAATTACAATCACTCCTTCACCCTGAAAACTAGTTGAACCAACTGCTGTTCCTATATACAAGGAATGTAACCAACTAGGCGGGTTAACTGATTCAGAGGATTTGAGTTCGCCCCTGAACGCTATTATTACAGAATGCTCACAGCCTCTCAACTAAGGCATCTGAGATAACGAACGGAGGACACTACATATTATTCCAGGTTTATTTACGAGACACCCGCCATTTGCGGAATAAATGACCCTGAACCAATAATGTTTGAAAAATTCCGGGTGGCTTATCTCACACCAGTTTTGGGGTAAATTATAGGTGCAAAAAGAAGTTCGACTCTTCGAGTCTTGGAATATATATATATTAGGAGTGAAGGAACGGTTTAGAAAACTTTTTCTGGGAAGAAAAGTCGACAGTGGGATGTCTGAATTATCGAAAATTTTGTTATTAATGGACGTCGGCCAAAATGTTATTCAGCAAACCTGGGGCATTGTGTTCAGAAAATACGGTCCATGAAGAATTAAAGATTATCAGGTGAAATTTAATAAATAATGGATATCCCAAGTTGCTTAAATTGTAACATGGAAAGAAATGGACATCGTAAAGACAACAGTCTTGTCCGTCTCGAGCAGAAACTGCATGGACCACCACCAAGAATAGTACAAAGGATCAAAGGCATATTGCAAATAACATCCATTGGATTTTCTAAGTATGCCTCCACACTCTGCATGAAAAAAGAAAGTGCCTGTAATTGCAACTACGAGGCGCCTGATAGACATAAGGTTGAAGTCAGTCAAACTCTCGAAGTGGTCATCGGACAATGAAAAACATGATTACTTCACTTTCACTTGCGTGTTATCTACCTGTATTTGTAATGATTCAAGTCATTTTTGTCCGTTAGCAGCTGGAGAAAATATGTGAAGTAAGAATAGGCCCTTTTACCCTGCAAATATATTCGTTCTCTCCAATCAAGGGAGCTGGGCGTATAAAATTATGTACAACACTTAAACTCAGAATGCAAATTAGCAGGTGCTCTAAAACTGCAGAAAAAGCACGATCCAAAGTTTGGTTCCTTTCCTCCTCTTAATCTGTGATCCCACATCAAAAGCATTTTTAACATGGTTGTTATTCACCTCGCAGATAATAATTTAGTACCACCAAATAAATCCATATAGACAAAACTGCTGATACTCATGCCTCCTACGAAAGCCTTCAGAGTAATCCCATGTTCGTGAAAAAATAAGCTTACAACTACCAACACGTGGTCATCTGGGACAGTATAATTTGACTGAGGAGATCTGCCTTACCACAAATTCAAGCAAATGGAAGTTATAATTTCCTTTAATTTAAGCAGGGAGGGTGGCGCATGCAGCAGATATGGTAGTGGTCACAAGTGCGAATCGCCCCGATCTGTAGGGCAGCAACATGCATTTTTAACAGCTAGAGAATTAAACATGAGTCCGGATCCTCGACATAAAAGGTAAAAAAGTAGTGAACTTACGAATCTAAACTCTAAAAAAGTGCTTTTGCTCGCACCATCTGCAAGCCCCACCAGCCATGCACAAATTCACCAGACATCTAACAGTTCAGCTTGTCCCGCGGGTTCTAATTTTTTAGATATTTGAACTCATTTCTCACTTAAACATTAATAATCTACCTCGTGATAACCTGTTTATTCACGCACTATTGTACTATATTTTATCTTCACTGACTAGGCCTTCATTAGGGTGAAGCTTACTCTTAGTTCATATTTGTGGATTGCTTTAGGTCTGGTTACTTTAATTAAAAGCACGCCACCAATGTTTAAACAAAGCCATATTTTTGACGAGAACGTAACAGTGTCCATGCTAAAACCAATATGGTTAAAATAAAACGTTGCAAATGCGTACTATCATTCCAGTGAGTCTCCAGCTCCTTCTCGTATATATCTTGTAAATGTACTTTCAATAATGTATTATCCATAATTGCACTGTATGCCACTTTGGAGTTTCCCAGGACGTTCTCCCCTTCCTGAAATAGCTTTTAATCACATGGGGGCATAGCACTTACTTAAACATAGGCTGCTAACTGGTTGACCATAACTATCAGCACGAAACGGAACGAAGTTTGGGGTGTCTCTCAACCTTGATGGTGACCTCAGCGAAAGGTTGACATTTTGACGCTTATACGAACGTATTCCGATTGCACGTACAATAACCGAACAATTTCAAGCTTCTGAAGAAGTATCGATTTATGATACTTCGGGATTGTAATTTTTAACATAATTCATCGTCCCTATTAAATAACATGCATTTCTTGTGGACTTATCTGTTTATATGAAATATAAATGTGATTGTCAATGCAGTTGAAGACTGAACGATCAATTCATGGTTGTTTGCTCAAACCCAAATCCTTATTTTTCGCGGGAGTCATCAATACGGCAGTTATCGTCTCACCGTTTGCTGTTCGGTAGAAGAGAGCAAACTATCAGAAGTATTATCGTGATTTATTGTTATATCATTTATTCTTAGACCTTGTGTATAATAACCTCATTGTAGGTCACATATTGGCGCAAGAATAAAGGATTCTCGAGTCACCATTCTGTGTTCTGGTTTTTGCGTTGGTTATTACACATTGTTTCTGAAAAACTTCGAGGGACAGCATGAGGTTCAGCGTAGTAAGACCTGGGCATTGACAATGATCATTATTTTTAAAGCAAGAGCGCATTCCATATATTCTGACAATTTAAGAAGAAAGATTTTCACAGCTGTATATATCATCAAGTAATTGTTTCACTGTCAGGTTTCGTCGAAAATAGTCCCTGTAAAATTTGCGATCCTTCATGAATCACCGGCCGGTTTTACTAACAGGTATGTTCAAAACACCTAGGCAGGTGCTTTAAGTAAGTTTTCAATGAAGTCTGTACTCTACTCCATGTGTCTGAACTCATCGTATATCGAAGAATGATGCGATTATGGGGGAAATCCCCGAAGGGGCGGTGGTAATCCCAAAGTGTGCACTTAGGCATTTCAGATTTTGAGCAATTGGTACTGGATGGGATTTTTGGCCTAGTGCATCCTCTACTTCACTTCCGTTCTAAAAATACCCAGACACTATTGGTAACAAGGCAATGAAAACGTGGTTAGTTGGAACATGTTATGAGTGCTAATAGACTGAAAAAGGGAAGAGTATAAGCGAACTTGAACATTTCCATTACGGAACTAGTCATATTATCACTTTTAAAATTAAGTTTGTTAGTATACGCAGCCGATTTCTGCAGGGGGGGTCTGGAAGTGGGGAAGTGGCCAAGGTGATTTAGGCACTGATAAACATAGGTTATTTGCATGCAGTTTTTGCAGTCATCAAGAGGCTAAGGCGGTATATCACTGCAGTCATTCGTACAAATATTACCATTATTTCACCTGTCTACATACATAGGCGATGGACAAACAAATTTAAAGATATTTTTTTCAAACGCTTATAACTCATGCAGAAGGCGCTAAAGGTAGATGGGTGATCAACTAACTAATAAGAAAAATGGAAGTTTGTTTCATAATGGACCATACTGCAGCATATAAGATCTCGTATGTAATCTCAACACGAGTCTGAATTCAGGGGCGTTTATACGTGACTAAAGACAGTATATTTCGCTACACTGTTAAGAGCAGTTGGACAACTTCTAAATTTTTCGTATAAAATACGGGAAGAAAATTCAAAATGAACCTCAGGCGTCTTAAAGAAAGTCTTTGAAGTTCGAATTTAGTGATATTTTGCACGTGTTTTCAGTGAGATTCATTTATTGCACTCCACTGTATTATCACTAGAAAGAAAAAAGCATAGAACATAAAAAGCGTGTTTTTATGAAAATCAGTAACCTAGAAAATACCTAGGCCTAAGATACTCAGTGAAAATGAAAGCAAGAGAGTTCCAGCGTGTAAATGCAGGTGAGGATTGAACGATCAATTCATGGTTGTTTGCCCAAAACCAACTTCCCCAATTTTCGCGGAGGCATCAATGCACCAGTCATCGTCTCATCGGTCGCTGTTCAGAAAGAAGTCAGGCCAAAACCGCCAGAAGTAATATTGTGATTTATTCTTGTAATGTTTGTTCATAGACCTTAGTTTTAAAGCTTATTTTTAAAGTTGGCCACATGTTGGTGTTA